GAAGGGGTGAGACCAGTGGAGTATCTTAGATGGCTGCTCACAGGCTTTTAAGACCCCAGACGCTACTCACCAGGGTTTTGCCAGTTGAGCTAGATGTTCCCTGAGACCATGGTCCCCACAGCCCTCCGCCCAGCAATTTAGTCCCTCAGGGAGTTTGGAAGTGTCTGTGGAGCTTCCATGACCTTTCCTTGTACAAATTGTGCTAGCTTCCCCAGTATTGTGTACTGTCGTAACTTTCACCAAAGTTACCACTTATCTATTGTCTATTTAGTGCCCCCCCATCCCTCGTAACCAACAAAGATTGTTTCTTTTTGTGTGTAAACTTTTACATGAGTTTTTACAGTAGAGGTCTCATACAATATTTGTTCTTTTGTGATTGACTTACTTCACTCAGCATAATGTCCTCCACCAGTTTCATCCATGTTATGAGATGCTTCACAGATTCATCATTGTTATTTATCTTTCCATAACATTCCATTGTGTGTATGTACCATAGTTTGTTTATCCATTCATCTGCTGATGGGCATCTAGGCTGTTTCCATCTTTTTGCTATTGTGAACAGTGCTTCAATGAATATGGGTGTTCATATGTCTATTCGTGTGATGGCTCCTATTTCTCTAGGATATATTCCTAGGAGTGGGATTGCATTTTGTAGTGCTTTTTTTTTGTGGTGCTGAAGTTTTCTTTGTTTCTCTTACTCTCCTGTGCTGAGTTCCTTTTGTTTTGTGGATTTTGTTTTTTCATTTCTTCTGTTTTTGTAGGTTTTGTTTTTACTGAGACTTTATGTTTTTCTTCTTTATTTTGATGAGTACATTTGTTAACTTTCTTTGTGGTTACCTTGGAATTTACCCTTATCTTCCTAGATTTGAACCAGTCTATTATTACTTGGTATCGCCTTGCCTTCCTCTCCATTAGAAGGTTCCATACCTACACTGTTTATTCCCTCTTTTATTGTTCTGATGCTGTTGTCATTTTCAGATTAACCTCTCTGGTTCCCTGTTGTAATTCTTTTGGTTTTGCACACTCAGTAAGAGTTCATTTCCTAGGTTGGTATCTGGCTAGTACAATCCTGTCCTAGATTCAGCCTGTGGTCTGATGTTGTTTGCTCTCAGATTGAAGGACTCCCTTTAATAAGTCTTGTAAGGTTGGTTTGGTTTTTACATAGTCCCTTAATTTCTGTTTATCTGGGAATGACCTAATTTCACTGTCATATTTGAATGAGAGTTTTGCAGGATATATTTTTCTTGGCTGGCGATTTTTTTCTTTCAAGGTTTTATATATGTCATTACATTGCCTTCTTGCCTGCATGGTTTCTGCTGAATAATCCAAGTTTAGTCTTATTGTTTCTCCTCTGTACGTGACTTTTTGTTTTTCTCGAGCTGCTCTCAGGATTCTTTCGTCTTTTGTTTTAGCTTGTGTGATTATGATATGCCTTGGTGATTTTCTTTTGGGGTCTATCCTATATGGGGTTTGTGGAGCTTCTTGGATGGTCAGCTTTTCATCTTTCATATTGGGGAAGTTTTCCGTCAGTAGTTCTTCAATGATCCTCTCTGTGTTTTCTGTTTTCTCCCCCTGTTCTGGAACTCTGATCACTTGCAGATTTTTGCTTTTGATTGTATTCCATATAATTCTCAGGGTTTCGTCATTTTTCTTTGTTCTTTTTTCTGATTTTTCCTCAAATAGAGTTGTATCTAAGTATTTGTCTTCAATTTTGCTGATCCTATCTTCCATCATTTCAAGCCTGCTTCTCAGCCCTTCTATGACACTGTCCATTTCTGAAATCTTTTTGTTTATCTTTTGGATTTCTAATTGTTGTTTTTCTATGGCTTCTAGTTGTGAATTTATTTTAGCATTTTGTTCCTGTATTATTTTCTTGAATTCTTCCATTTTTTTGTGTGTGTCTTCCATGAATTTGTC